ATAATGAGCTCGACTTTTTATAGTTATGTGAAGCTCACCTATCTAATAAAATTTTATTTTCGGTTTCTCCCCTCCAAAGTATTAACAAATCACCGTCGTTAACCTTATGCGCCATTTCGTCGTCACGAAAAGTTTTAGCACCTTTCACAAAGCTATGTTTTATTCTTTTTTATATTTCAGTAGTAAAAAAATTTTTTTTTTTTAATTCCCCTTATGCGTTACGGGACTGAAAAAAGTCTTAATGTTATTGCATTTTATTCGCAAATAAACTTTCAAAAAGCTTAACCTTCAAAATAGCTTAACCTTTCACAAAATATTTAAAGTTTTTAATTTTCCATTTAATGTTAGTTACTGCTGCTCAGGCTTCTTCTATCCTTAGTGTTTCCTTGTGTACACTTTGACGCTGGCACCGCAATAGTAAAATAACAGCATTTTGTTCACCAGGTGGTGTACGACTTTAGAAAGTAAAACATAACTTATGAACTATAATATATTATATAAATTTAGTCAATATTTAATTAAAAATTATATAAGTATAAATACTAATAAAAATAACTTACAGACAAAATGTTTAACAATTTAAAAAATTTTTTAAAATAAATTAGTTAAATTTAAATTATAATATAAAAAATTATAATAACTTACTCTCTAGTATAATTAATCTTTAGAAATTTAAATAAAAGTTTAATTTATAAAAATATATCGATAGAAAATTAAATGACTTATATTTTATAATATATTATCAACCATTGAATTATATTTTTTTTTTTTAAAAAAAAATCTTAATTATTAAAGTATAATAATTTGATTTAACAAATAGATAATGTTCATACCCTCTAATTCTTTTGAAATAGAAATATCTAAAGCATTTAAAACTGGTTTTAATATTATAAAAAAAATATTGATAAATTATTTCAAGCTTGTAAATTATCTTATTTTGATAAATATATTTACTAACTTCATCTAAATCATCCTTAAATATTGGAAAACAAGATGTATTTAAAATAGGATTTAATATATTGCAAATATTTTATTTTAAGAAAGATATTTATAAATCATTTCAAGTCTGTAAAAGCAACTTTACTTTATTTTCTTACTATGCAATAATTGTAAAATACCTATTAAGTTACAAATATGCTACTATTAAGTAAGGTAGTAACTATATACTTTTTATATAATTACTTTGTAGTTATTGTGTATTAAAAAAAACTAAGTTTCTGTAAAGAACTTATTTTGTTTGATATACTTACTATCTTTATTTATAATAGTTTTTTTTATTACTTTTTTTTTCTTTTGGTAAATATATTGCACTTTTTTTATAATTACTGTTGAATTTTTTGTAAATTTAAAAGAAAAAAAAGTTCAATTAAATTTTATTATCATTTCTTTTATTAAGTCATTATCATACATGTTGATCATTTTCAAAATTTATATAAAACTAGCTAATTATTGCATTGTTGTAATAAATTATAAGATATAATTATTAGTAATTAAATTATATAATAGAAAATTTAAAGTTTTTTATTTATAAAATTATAATATAGAAACTGTTTATTTAATAGGTAAATAATAAAATATATTATATATATAATTATATATTTGAATAAATTATAATTTATATTTTAGGATAAAATAATTAAAAAAAAGAAATTCTATAATATGATATATAATTAATTTTATTTTGCTATTTAGAGTTTAAGAATTTTATTATATATAATAATTTTTATTTGGTAACATTTTAAATATTAAGGCTAATATTTTATTTATTAGTAATTTTTTTTTTTTAAACGATGTGGCACTGCCAGTAACTTTATTAAATTTATATATAAAGAAATATAAAGTAAATCGAAAATAAATCTATGCTAAGTACTAGCTATCTCCCGTAGTTATATTACAAACCCATTTGAATTGACCTATCATCGTCTTTCCCCTCTATCAACTCCACTAAGTGCATACTTAATGAAAATTAACATCAGCAAGGAAATATTTATTAGTAATTTAGGATTATGTAAACCTGTAAATTATTTTCAAATATTTAAAAAAATGAAATTTTTGCTATTTTACCATTTATAGCTCCTGAAGTTTTAAGAGGTCAATCTTATATTTTAACTAGTAATATATATAGTTTTTCTATAATTATGTGAAAATTAATATCAGAAGGTTCTTCATTTAATAATAAAGCTTATAATCTTCAACTTCATTTAAATATTTGTAAAATGTAAACGTCCTAAAATTATTGAAAATACTCTTACATGTTTTATAAATTTAATGAAAAAATGTTGAAATATAGATTTATTAAAAAGGCTAACTGCATTAGAAATTAAAATAGTATTAAAGAATGATACAATAACATTATTGATAAGAATCATAATAAAGAATTTAAAGATGGTATTATAGATTTTTATAAATCAGATAAAGTATTTAAATAAAATCAAATAATAATCTAAGTATTATTAAAAATCATCCACAAGTATTTCATATAAGTCATTTACTTAATTTTACTGAAAGATTAAATGAAATTTTAGATCTTGAAATTAAAAGTTTAGAGATTAGTCAAAATTTAGGTGATTATTATAATATATATAAATTAATAATTTTTTTAATTTAATATATATATATATTTAATTAATTAGAAACTTAAATATTACAAATGATAAAATAAGTAAGTATATTAAATATAAATTTAAATAAATATTCAATTTATTTACATTAATTTATTTTTATAATAGATAAAAATATTTAAATTTATTAATAAATATATTAAATATTTTTTTATATATTTTATAACTATATTATATTATGATAATTTTTATGAAATATTTATTTAGTAACATTGTATTCAAATAAATATTATAAAAAATACAGTTTGTAATTATTTAAATTAACTTTTATATATAAATTAAGTTATAATAATTAAATTAAATTATTAATACTTATTAAATTGATTGTTAAATAAATAATTAAGATTAATAATTAATATAAGTGAGTTAAAATAATTATAAAATAAAAATAAAACAAAAATTTAAAAATAATATTAATTTATTTAATAGTCAGAAATTATTTTATATTATTAATAATAAATATTACTAATATTATATAATTAATAATATGTAATACAATCTAATTATATATTAATATTTATATTAATTATATGATTTAATTTTTAATTGATATAATGTTTGTATATAGTAATTATTATTATATTTTTTAATAATTTTATTGTAAATATTTAATTATTACTATTACTAAATTTTTTTTATTATAATTAATTCATTATAATTATTTTCTTTATTAAAAACATTTGATTTAACTTTTAACTTTATTTTAAGCTAATTTAAAGATTATTAAATAAATATTTTTCTTAATGATCCTTGTGAAATTTTGAAATATTACTTTGAAAAAGTCTTGGTATTCCTAATAATAAAGATTTCAATGATATTAGAATAAAATTGATAGGAAAATACAAGGTGATGTATAATGGTACACATGGGAAATTTTGATGGTCAGTTAATTTAATCATATAATAATATATGAAGACTACAATAAAAGATGGAAAACATTTTTTTGGTTAATGTTTATTTGACAGAAGCATTGAAAAAGGTTGAAAATTTCACCATTAGGATCAGGTGAAAGCATTGTATAGATCATCACTGTGAATATCAAATATTTTGTCCACATGTTAAAAATATTATTGAAAGGAATGATGAAATAGTAGGAATTAACATTAAATATTTCCAAAAGGAGAAGTGATTCTTTGTGGTAGTAGAATTAATAGTGCTCAGATATGTACTTGAAATTTAGTTATAATATATTTGTATACAAAAAAATATTTCTCAAAAACTTGATGATATGAATAGAATGATTTGTTCTTACAAATTTTTACGTGAAATAATTATATATCTTCATTTAGTTCATAAATAAATTTGAAATATTTGATAAATTTGGAAAATGGTGTTGAAATGAGTAATGAATAATGCTGTGGGCGAAACCTATTTTCAAATCCTAAATATTTCAGATTTTGAGAGCTGATCTGAAATCTGTTTCTAAATTCCGTAATTTGGGAGAAAATTTGATATTATTCCGAATATTTTAGTCTTCCGATACTATCTGATATATCCGAAATTATAATTCACGTGACTTTGACTAAGAATATTTCTATCTAAAATAGGTAGATTAATTCAATAAATTAAAATGTAATACGATTTGTTTAAAATGGTTTTAACCGTAATTTATTTATTTATTTATTTTTTTTTTGGAACTTTAATTTTCGATTTTTTTTACATTCGGATAATTTAAATAATTTATTTTTTAAAGGAATTTACAATGTGATAATAAAATATATTAAAAAAGGGGTTTTCGTAAATTGGATCAACAACATGTTAGTATTACCATGTCTTTACCCGAACAAGAATATTCTTTTCAACTTAATACAAAAAAAAATCAATGTGGAAAACCAAATCTATAATATGGGGAACATATTAACAAGGTCGACAATTTCAAAAGGACATTATAATGTACCTGTACTATTGTAAAAAATATTGGTATAAGGGATCACTAAAAATATGTGAAGAGCATTTGGCAGATTTATGTCTAGAAGTACCATCTGAAGTTTGTGAGGTATTTGAAGATGATGATTATGAATTTTTACAAGAAGCAGAAGATTTCGAAAATGAGCAATTTAATTATGAGGAAGAAGAAAAATCTTGAAATTGAAAGTTTAGTAAATTTAGATGCGGACGAAATTATGTCGGGTCTAGATAAAATAATGAAAGAAAGTGTAGATGATAATGATATTCATAGTATTGGTAGTAATAGCGATACTGTAGATGATATAGATGGAGATTGTGATCCAAAAGCCATTGCGGATAAATATATAGATGATTAATGATTTGTTTTGATATTACATAATAAATAAACCGTTTAAATTTTATTTTTAAACATTTTTATTTATCAAATGTTAAATATTCTATTATTTATAAATTTCAGATATATGAATTAATTTCGGATAGGGTTTGGAATATCGGATAGGTTTCGGAATTTCGGAATATCGGAAAATTACACTATCGGATAAGGGCGATATATATCGGTTTCTCTCACATCATTAGTGATGAAGATTGGGCCGTGAACAAGTAATTTTCATCCAACACGTAATAATGGAATTTTCAAATACTGATTTATGAATATTTTCATAAATACATCATTTCATGCATGTGGTACTGTTAAATGACACTGAAGTAACAAGGAGTATGTGTTAATCGTCGACTTCAAGTTTATGGAACCAAAAATCTATAGGTTATCGATGCTTAATTTTTCAAATTATTCAGAATGGTGATACTTACTAATTCTATGGTTGCATGGAAAGCAAGCAAGGTATTTGAAGAAATTACAGAAATAAAATTTAAATATTTCGATTACGTGATCACGTGATTTTAAAATCAAGTTTTTTTTGCAAAGTTACAGTTAATAGAATAATAGAATCAAAAAATTTCCAATATGTTAATGCGAAGTAAACTTGACAATACTCAATATTTTTTTAAAAAAAATCAAAGTAGTTCATAAATGATGTCAAAAAAAAATTATCATATAATGTTAATAGTATATAATTTTTTTTTTGATTCTGTTATTAAATGAGCTATTCTTGATTCATATAACTTATGTTTTTTTATCTCTACGAGCTTCTGATGACAGATATAGTCTGTCCTCTCTCCTTGAGGCTGTATGTAAGATATATGCAATTTGTTTAACAAATGAGTAATTCTCGGAATTTTTTAGTTTTTTTCGTATATAATCTTGCTTTGATACAAGACTAATTTCATAAATTACCATCTTCAGAGAGAACGTTTGTTTCCTTATAAACCGTAAATGCAGCATTTTAAGATCAGCATACAAAATATACATTTGTACTTTCAAATTTTTTTTTAATATTTTTTTTTCTGCAGTTTCTTCTGCATAGATGCGTACAGATTTTCCTTTTATTCTGATTGATGATTTGTTTGCATTTCGTACTAACTAACTACGCACAAACTATCCATATCTAGAAAATCAATATTTTGTGTAACCAATCGAAATCTATTTCGAAAATCTCATAGAACAATGGTGTTTACGAACTATATATAGATAGGCCAAAAATATCACAATAAATAAAATTATTTGGCTAGCTATTTTTAGGAATTCATAAATTTCGCCTTAATCTAAAATTAGCTTTGCTTAGAGAAGTAACCTTTTTTAGTATATTTCTCGAAATTTACAAGCTTGGCATAAGTATCACTGTAATTATGATTTACCAAAAATTCTTCGTTTTTTGAAACGAAAAAAGTTCTGTATATATAGAACGTGGAATCAAAGGTTTCTCCAACAATTCACTTAAATCTTTCAAACTCATATTTTGTATAAAAAGCATTCCTCGATTTTTACATAAGTAACCCTAATTCAATTAATCCTTTTAGCATTTTAGAAAGTATTGACATTAAAATTTTCAGTATGTCACAACCTGGAATTTTCACCAAATCAAATCTGATTTACATACCGTTGTCAGTAGCGACCGCTCACACTTTGAATTTCGTATGTAATTCTCCATTATCTACATGGCAAGAATTTCCTCCAAAATTACCTACCTCAGTATATTCTTCAATTTATTTTATTCCATTATTACTGTTTTTATCACTTTCATTTGAACCAATTCAAACGAGTAGACGATTTTATACTTTATTATCTCTCGCTCTTATATTTGTTTCAATTCCAATAAGTTTTCGCGGAAAATATCCACCTAAACTTCATAACGTTTTTGTGGCTTATGGAATGATGTTTGGACTAAAAATGTTATTGTTCTTAAAATATAATCGGTCATACTTGAATCAAGAAGTTTCGGATCAAAAGAAAGAATTTAAGTCATTCCTCTGGATGATATTTAATTCACGCTTTAACTCTTACATAGTTCCTCCAAAAAAGGAAAATTCGAACGAAAAAGAAAATTCCTTGATTATTACATCACCTACGACTTCACAAATTAACAAAAAAATAATTAATCGCACTTTAATTACCTTTATAAAATGTCTTATTCTTAAACTTGTAACGTTTTTTTCAATTAAATACACGATGGTAATTCCAGAGAAACCATACCAACTTCGTTTATTAGAATTTATTACAAAAGGAATCCCTGCGGTTACAATGCCTTCAATGTTACAATACGTAAATTTCCTTTTATGTGTTTACCTAATGGCCTCTGTATATAATTACGATATATGCACTATTATTATTGCAACCTTCTACCGTTTATTCTTTCATTCCTCATCGGAAAAAATCAATTATAAACCTATTTTAATTAAATCTGGTCTTCTCACTCCTTCCGAGTATGTCTCCCTAAAAGAATGGATGATCACATTCCTTTTCAATACAAAACATTTGTTTAGTGAACCATGGATGGCATCAAGTCCTCGTGAATTCTGGTCTGTTCGTTGGCAATTAATGATTAATGAATCCTTTAAAGAATTAGGTTTTTTACCTGTTAAGAATTTATTCGTTCCATTCATTCCAAAGAAAATCGCAAATATGATGGGCGTGTTAGGTGCACTCGGTGTTAGCGCTTTAATACATGAATACCTTATCATTGGTCAATTTGATATTTGGACAGGTGAACACCTCTTTTTCTTTATGATCCATGGTGTAATATTCATCTTGTGGGAGGCTATTTTTGGTCGTGAAAATATTAATGAGAATTCAAAAATTAAAAGGTTCTTAAAATGGTTCTTGTTGTTGATTATTAATTTGTCTGTTTTGCCAGCATTCATTGAACCTTTAAGAAGACGACCAGAGATATTTGTAATTAGTTCATTTTTTTCTAAATATTATATCTAAAATATAATGATTTCGAGGGGTATTTAAATATATTGTTACAATTGAATTTCAATTAAAATTATAAAATTTAGATAGAAATATAAATATAGAATAATTCATACTTCAAATGTTCATAATTTCTCATAAATCATTCAAATAAAATTATCATTTTCACAAAGCAATTTAAATAAATTTTTACAAAAAAAATCCATTTATCATTTATTAAATATAATGAACAGATATTTCATTTTGCTTTCCGGTTTAAACGTTTTGCCAAAGTTTTTTTTTTTTATCGGACTCAATTAAAATACAACATAAATAAATTCAAAATATATACAAATAAGCATAAGAACTTCCACAAAATTAAAAAAAAAAAGTATCATCAATTCCACGTAATCTTAATTCTTTCTTCTTTATTTATAGTTTCTGAATTAAAATAAAGTACAATTATTAAAATTCAAAGACAATATGTTAAAGTTTTTGTTATTATCATGAAGGATCCAAAGATGCTCTAAAAAAAATAAGTGATCGATAATTTTGTGCAAAATAATCAAGTTGCTTCCTTCGTAACGACAAGATCATTCCTTCCTTTATAAAATATTAAAATATTTCTACATACTTTTCTTGTAACTCGCAACCATTTTTCGATTTGTCATCGTTACTATTTTTTTCAAAAAAAATAATAATAACAATAAAAAAAATGCTGAATAACTTTTGGCATATTGCTTCAAGAATGTAGTGGCTACATGGCTACTACCAAGTCCCAATTTCACGTGTTTCAGCAAAGTTTTTGATTTTTTTTTAAATTTAATTTATTTTTAAATTTTTTTATAATTGCGGGTTCTAATATTTAATTTTTTTTTAATTTGCATACCCTTTTTTTTATTTTATTTTTATTTTCAGATTTAATTTATTTAAGGTTTTCTTTAAGCATCTAACTCAATGGATCGATTGATTATATTCGATTAATAGTAAATCTTAGAGTCAAATCTTGAGAAATGATCAAATTGATTATAAATATCAAAATCGATTCCAATCCTTAGATCCAGGTCATTTAGGTCATTTAGATCATTCAGATTCAAAAAAATCCTGGTTAAGTTATGAATATATTTGTTGGTTTGGCATAAGTGACAATTTTTCTAATATTTGAATCTATGTGTTCTTTCTTATTTGTACTTTCTGATTATTTTATAAAAAAAATATTTTGTTTTTGTTGTTTCTAAAGTTATTTTTTTGTAAAAAATCTGTTATTTTAGAATGAAAAGGACATAATTTTCGTAAATTTTTTTTTTTTTTTGTGTCAGACAACCCATGAGCAATTAAAAAGGCACATTACATATTGATATGACAAATCCCGATGGCTTTATTTCAAATAAAATAAAATTATGAGAAGTCACCTAATAAATGCTTAAATTTTTTTAAATTTTGAAAGAAATTATACCTGTGTCTAATAAAATTCTTAGTGTAGATGATTTGACACATATTTATTTAGGAAGAACCAATTGAGTTTGAAATTAGATGGTCGTGTTTTCATTAGAAGCACCCTTTCCCATTTATCTTGTATCTTTATTAAAACCTTAAAATAAAATTTTCATAATAAATACAATGTTATATAATGTTATATGGGACCTTTGCTATAGAAAACTACAGGATAATATTAATTTTACTTTTATGTGCCAAATATGATTTTAGACCCTTTTATATTGCAAAGTTCCCATATTGCGGGTCATTTGACCTTTAAAATTTCAAGTCATCTGCCAACACTGATGTAACTGTTGTAAAAAAACTTCGGTTCGGTAGTAAATTTTTATAAGTATCTTCGTTTGATAATGTTGTGCGTTAACTATAATTTTGCGTCAGATGCCGACTGGCCTAAATTATGGGATTATTTTAGGCTGAACTTATAATGCCTTAAGAGGGTTTGGCCAGCATTAGTCATCTGACGCATGTCAACTGTCAGTTGACTCACAACATGTATTTTTGATTTAGAACAAGAACTTGGAAATTAGCAGTTAGATTATTTCAAATTTTATAAAACTCAAGCAGCTATGAACTTCAAACATTTATTCAAAAGCCTTGGATTAAAACTCAATTACTACACCAGATTTATCCGGAGTAAATCAGTTAAATTTCTTCACTTTTCAATTCAAACGTCATCATTACAATGTGTACAAATTAAAGGTATATATTTTTTTAAAAATACCTTTTGCCAATTTTACCTGGGTGAAAATAATCACTTTAAGAAGGGGTTCTTGTATCTCATATTCCCGAAGGATGCAAAAAAATAAATAAAAAAATTTAAACGCAACGTGTGCGTAACAAGTTTATAAAAATTGACGAATTAAATTCCGATATTCTTTTAATATTTTGATAGAAGCCATTGGGTTTATATCAAAATTCTTATAAATCCGCAAATGGGCGTATAAAATTCATTAGTTGATATAAAATGCAATTAGTAATTTAGTTTAAATCATGAAGAGCATATAAATGTTGCTGAAAATTATTACAAGTTAAAAGAAAAAGTTTGATGAAAATTTCTTTAATATTTAAAGTAATATTACAAATTGTCTATAAATTTGTAAAGTAAATTTTCTGATATTCGCTTATTAAAAAGGATAAAACAGAAATTACCGGGATTTCTATTTACAGTTGTCTGGAAAAAAATCTCAGGTCAATAGCAAACCGTCGAAGCTCGGAACCATAATTAAATCCCGTAAAAGTCAAAACTATATTAAAGTCTTATTAACAATACGTCGAAAAAAAGGTTTCGACTTGTCATTCGCTTACAAAGAATGTTAATTATAGTAAAGAAGATATAAGTTAAAGTTATGGTTTCAAACGCATATAGTAGTATTGTCGTCGTATTTGAGATTTTAAGGATTTGGGGTATATAGATGTTAAGGAATCGGGTATATTTGGTAAGCTATTTATTTTAGTCCTATTACTATTGAGTATCGTTAAGGAGTTGGGTAATGTTGGTAAGCTATTTATTTTAGTGCTTTAACACTCGAGTACCGTTAAGGAGTTGGGTAATGTTGGTAAGCTATTTATTTAGTTGTAAAACATATAAGTACCGTTAAGGATTCGGGTAATGTTGGTAGGATTGTTATTGGAGTAAATTGGCAATAAAATTCCTTTAAGGAATTGGGTAATGTTGGTAAGCTATTTATTTTAGTCCTATAACACTTTGAATACCGTTAAGGAGTTGGGTAAGGTTGGTAATCTAGTTATTTTAGTAATGGAGCAATTAAGTTCCGTTAAGGAATTGGGTAATGTAGGTAGGATAGTTATTGGAGTATTAGAGCAATTAAGTTCCGTTAAGGAGTTGGGTAAGGTTGGTAGGATAGTTATTGGAGTATAAGAGCAATTAAGTTCCGTTAAGGAGTTGGGTAATGTTGGTAAGTTATTTATTCGAGTTTCATGACACCAGAGTGTCGTTAAAGAGATGGGTAAAGTTGGTAAGCTATTTATTTTAGTGCTATAGCAATGGAGTATTTTTAAGGAGTTGGGTAAAATTGGTAGGAAAGTTATTGGAGTATTATTACAATATAGTTCAGTTAAGGAATTTGGTAAAGTTGGTAAACTATTAATTTTAGTCGTATAACATCTGAGTATATTTAAGAAGTTAGGTAAAGTTGGTAAGCTATTTAACTGAGTTTTATTACAATTTAGATTTCTTAAGGAGCTGGGTAATGTTGGTAAGCTATTTATTTTAGTATTAAAGCAGTTGAGTACCGTTAAGGAGCTGGGTAATGTTGGCAAGCTATTTAATTTAGTATTATAACAGTTGAGTACCGTTAAGGAGTTGGGTAAAGTTGGTAGCATAGTTATTGGAGTATAGGAGCAATTTAGTTCCGATAAGGAGTTAGGTAATGTTGGTAAGATATTTATTTTAATGTTGTAACAGTTGAGTAGTGTTAGGGAGTTGGGTAATGTTGGTAAGAAATTTAATTTAGTATTATAACAGTTGAGTATCGTCAAGGAGTTGGGTAAAGTTGGTAGGGTAGTTATTGGTGTATCAGAGCAATTTAGTTCCGTTAAGGAGTTGGGTAAGGTTGGTAAGCTATTTATGTCAGTCAAATAACAGATAAGTACTGTTAAGGAGTTGGGTAATGTTGGTAAGCCGGTTATCTGAGTATTAAAACATTCGAGTACTTTTAATTTCCGATATCTTTGCAATTCTCCTAACACATTTAATATGTCATCCTCATCATTAAATTTCGTAATCGTTAAACTTTCAATTGTATCATCGTAAATAATATCCGATACTTCAATATTTGATTCTAATTCTTCTACATTCTTCTGACCAGTCAAATTGATTTGATCTTTTATCAAATCAAATCGAAAAATTTGAGATGATTCTCCAAATAAATTATTTATACTAGAAGAAGCTTCGATGTTATCAAAACGACTTTGTTGTTGAAGATTTGATTCATCATTATTCGTTTGATTATTTTCTGTTATGATATTAGTAATTGCATTTAATTTATCAACTACTTGATTCATTGATGGGCGATTATCCGGCTCATTATCCCAGCATTCTGAAATTAGATAAAATTTTAATAATCATTTATATTCTTATAAATAATTTCATAATTATATATTTACCAGTGTAAATGTTCGCATAATCTTCAGGTGTGCCGGGAATGATCTTTTCTCTAAGTCCTCCTAAAATTTCGATAGCTAAACCAATATCATATCCTTCATCATAAAAAGGAGGACGACCACTCGAAATCTCCCACAAGAGCACGCCAACACTATAAACGTCACTCTTTTCGTTTAGTTTAAATTGTGGCAATTTATTGTCATTTTTCCGTCTGTTAAAACATTTTGGGTCAACATAAGGAATAACACCAAAAGCTTTTGATTTACTAGTTGCTGCTTCGATTCTTTTCGACAATCCAAAGTCGGCTAGTTTAATAACGCCTTGATGAATTAATACATTTCCGGAATGCTATTATATACGAATATAAAAAAAATTGATTTTTAAACAGCAACATTCGGAAGAATATATATGTTTT